AACCCGCGCAGACACGGGGAGAATGTGCAAACTCCACACAGACAGTCGCCCGAGGGTAGAATCAAACCCGGGTCCCTGGGGCTGTGAGGCAGCAGTGCCGACCACTGAGCCACCGTGCCACCCCAAAAGTGCCTTTCCTCTTTACCGTCTTGTCCCACTGCAAATTAAAACTGCTCCAGGGGAGGCTTGAACATACTACCTTGCCATTGCACACGCCTCTATACTGTCACATAAGTACTGCGCGCTGACCGATTGTGCCACTAGAACTTTTATTCTGTTAAGTTTTCTAATCGAGTTAAGTTATTCCAGTTCCTTCTTTCTTTTGTTGTATTTTAACTAGTGTTTGAATAAAATGCATTTTGCTTCAGGTTGAGAAGTTTGTCCAACTGAATTGCATCTGGAACACAGTACCTCATATTTACTCTTAACATAAGAAAAAGTTAAGGTTTTGGCTACCTTCTTAAAATATTTTGAGGGGGTCTGGTCTGACCTATAAAACTTACCTTCCTCAATTCTGTACGATCAACCAATTTTAATGTCACTTGTCAAATTCCTGAGCCCAAATCACTTAGGTAAAATGGGAATAGCAGCAGCTCCAGCACAAAAACCCTTCGGAAGATCACTTCTCACGTCTACCCAGTTGAAGGCTCTTCCCTTAATTCCTGATTTGTACACGTTTTTGATTTATTCTACAATGTGCCTTCAGCCTGCACAAAGCCTAACTTACAAGTCCCCAACATTCCCCACTCTGAACTAAAATTGTTCACTACTTCAATATCCCACCTGACCCTGACCTGACTTTCGACGCCTATATCCACTCCATCACCCAGAAAGCCCGTTTCCCTCTCTGTCACATCCTCACCTCCAACTATCTGTGGCTGGACCCCTCATCCATCCCTTCAACAATCTCCAAAGTTGACTATGCCATTGCTTTCCTGTGTGTATCCATCCTCAATCCATCTGGACATTGTTCTTCCAACATACCATGCCCTGTTGGGATGTTGGTAACCGTGGATTTCCAGTGAATTGATCTACACTTGTGGGCAAAGCACTACAGTGGAAATGGGATTGGTTGTGTTTAGGAGGTGGAGAGAATGCATTGAATAATGTCTATTCAAATATTACAGCTACAGTACTCATTGAGCATAAAAAAATAGGAGCAGAAGGAGGTCATTCAGCCATTAAATGGCTCCATCATTTAATAAGATCAGGACTGCATTCTTAACTCCATTTTCTGAACCTATCTCCCCAATCACCCCTACGGTACAAGTTCCAAAGAAGAGTCATATTGCACTCGAATTACTGACTCTGTTCTCTCTCCAGACTTGCTGAGTTTCTCCACCACTTTCAGTTTTAATCCCATAACCCTTGACTGCTTTATCAATCTGTCGAACTCAGCCGAGATTATATTCAGTGGTCCAACGTCAATTGCACTCAGCAGAAGTGATTTACGAACACCCAACAACCCCCCGACAGAAGTAATTCTTCCTCACTACTATCTTAAAGTGGGGGACCCTTTACCTTTAAACCATTTGTCCCCCCCCTACCTTCCCAGTTCTAGCTTCACCCACAAGAGAAAGCATCCTCTCAGCATCGACCTTCAATCTCCCTCAGAATCTTATATGTTTCAATACAATCACCTCATTATATTACATTACTCATATTAATATTCATTAGATTGATACACTTGCAGCAGTCATCAAAGAGGACTGGGAGCAGGTCCAAAATTCTTGTTGCCTTGCTCTGTGGCCCATTCATCCCTGCTCACAGTGACTTACATTAGCTCACAGTCCGGCAACACTTCCATTTGAGAATTTTCACCTGAGCTATCCAGTCCCACACGTTCCCACCGTGCTCTCCATTCTCTCCCGTAGCTTCTGCCAGCCTCTCAGACCTCCGAATTCTCCGTACTCCTCCAAATTCTGGCCTCCTGTGTGGCTCTGATTTTCATTGTGCATGAATCACAAAAACGGTAGTTCGCAGGTGCAGCAGGTAATCGAGAAGGCAAATGAAAAATTGTGCTAGAGAGATGGTGTTTAAAAACAGGGAGGTATTGCTGCCGCTGTATAGGGCACTGGTGAGGCCACACCTGGAGTACCGTGTACAGTTTTGGTCTCCTTACTTGAGAAAGGATGTACTGGCACTGGAGGGCATAGGAGATTCACTAGATTAATTCTGGAGTTGAGAGGGTTGGCTTATGAGGAGAGATTGAGTCAAATGGGACTCTACTCATTAGAATTTAGAAGAATGAGGGGGAAACTTACAAACATATAAAATTATGAAGGGAATAGATACGATAGAAATAGGGAAGTTGTTTCCACTGGTGGGTGAAACCAGAACTAGGGGGCACAGCCTCAAAATAAGGGGGAGCAGGTTTAGGACTGATTTGAGGAGGAACTTATTCTTACAAAGGGTTGTGAATCTGTGGAATTCCCTGCCCAGTGAAGCAGTTGAGGCTACCTTGTTGACTGGTTTTAAGGCAAAGAAGGATAGATTTTTGAACCGTGAAGGAATTAAGGGTTATGGTGAGCGGGTGGGTAAGTGGAGCTAAGTCCATGAAAAGATCGGCCGTGATCTTATTGAATGGCGGAGCAGCCTTGAGGGACCGGATGGCCTACTCCTGCTCCTATTTCTTATGTTCTTAATGCAGGCCCATCAGTAGCTGTGCCTTCAGCTGCCTGGCTCTTTTGACAAGGATTCATGTGCAGGGTAAGGGGCGGAAGGCAGGGAAAATGGGGTCTAGTCTGTGATGCTAAGCCAAAAGGAGAGGAAGAGTCATATCAGAATTCCAAACTGCAGTGAAGCTATGAAAAGAGGCTGGGGAAGCTGGGATTGTTTTCTTCAGAGCAGACAAAGTTGAGGGAGGAACCTAAAAGAGGTGTATAAGATTATGAGGGGCAAGGACAGGGTAGATAGAGAACAGCTGTTCCCCTTTAGTTGAAGGGCTGTACCAAGGGTTACACATTTAAGGTGAAAGAACAAAGGTTTAGAGGGGAGTTGAGGAAGAATATTTTCATCCAGAGGGTGGTGAGGGTCTGGAATGCACTGCCTTAGGAGGGTTGTAGAGGTGGGAAACCTCACAGCCTTTAAAAATTACTTAGATGAGCACTTGAAATGTCAAAATATTCGAGGCTATGGGGCTAGTGTTGGAAAGTGGGGCTAATGTAGATTATAGAGTAACAAACAGCTGATTTCTGAAGAAGGGACACTGGACTCCAAATTAACTCTGTTTATCTCTTCACAGATGCTGCCAGGCCTGATGAGTTTCCCCAGCAACTGCTGTTTTTGCTTCCAACTCCAAAGTATTTCATTGTATTGTAGATTTAGAATTGTTTTTGTTTTGTTGGCACAGTATCAATAGACTGAAGGGCCTTTTCTGTATTGTATGTTCAATGTTCAATGATCCTATGATCCTGTGTTTGAGGATCCTATGATTCTTTATTCTATTCCATGATCTTAAGTTCTGTTATCCTGTGGTTCTGCATTCTGGTATCACATATTTTGTGACCTTATGATTCTATGTTCTAGCATCCTATGTTATTAGGTGGCACGGTGGTTCAGCGGTTAGCACTGCTGCCTTTCACAGCGCCAAGGACCTGGGTTCAATTCCAGCCTTGGGTGACACTCTTGTGGACGTGGAGATGCTGGGGTTGGACTGGGGTGGACAGAGTCAGAAGTCGCACAACACCAGGTTATACCCCGTTATATTCGGCAGGTGAAAGGGGCAGTGCTTCGAAAGCCTGTGATTTCAAATTAAGCCTGGTGGACTATAGTCAACACACCACAGGAACACAGCAGGTCAGGCAGCACCAGGGGAACAGGAAAGTTGACATTTTGGGTCGGGGCTCTTCATCAGAACTGTGTTCCTGTTCCTCTGCTGCCCGACCTGCTGTGTTCCTCCAGCTCCACACTGTATTGACTCTGACTCCAGTGTCTTGCTATCCCTGGTGGACTATAACCTGGTGTCGTGCAACTTCTGACCTTGTCAGTGTGGAGTTTGCATGTTCTCCTCCTGTCTGTGCGCATTTCTTCCTACAGTCGCAAAGATGTGCAGGTTAGGGTGGATTGGCCGTGCTAAATTGCCCCGTAGTGCCCAGGGATGTGCAGGTTAGGGTGGATTGGCCGTGCTAAATTGCCCCATAGTGCCCAGGGATGTGCAGGTTAGGGTGGATTGGCCGTGCTAAATTGTCCCCATAGTGCCCAGGGATGTGCAGGTTAGGGTGGATTGGCCGTGCTAAATTACCCCCATAGTGTCCAGAGATGTGCAGGTTAGGGTGGATTGGCCGTGCTAAATTACTCCATAGTGCCCAGGGATGTGCAGGTTAGGGTGGATTGGCCGTGCTAAATTACTCCATAGTGTCCAGGGATGCGCGGGCTGTGTGGGTTAGGCGTGGGAAATGTGGGAATAGGGTGGGATGCTCTTCAGGAGGGGAGGGGGGGTGGAGGTATGGACTCGATGGGCCGAATAGCCTGCTCCCACACTGTAGGGTGTCTATGATGCGGTGATGCGGTATCCCGTGACGCCGGGGTGCTGCTGAGGTTCCCCAGCCTTGCCCGTAAGGAAGCTGAGGCGCGGCCCCTTTAAGAGACTGGTTGGTGTTTTGGGGGGGGGGGGGGTGGGGAGGGATTACGTCACCCTCCCCGATGGTGGGGGTGTTGTGGGGGGGATAGAGTGGTGACAGTGCGCAGGCGCGGCCGCTGCAGCCCTTTAACCGCGGATCGCTGGACCAGCGCTGCGCTAGTGTTAGCGCTGCAGCTGTGTCCCAGTCTTTATCTCTCTCTCTCTCTCTCTCTCTCTCTGTGTGTGAGGCTAGTGCAATCCTGCTGAATGCACCAAGCTTCCCATCGCTCCCCATACCCTCCTCTTACCCCTTCCCCTTCCCCCCCCCCCCCCCCCCCCCCCCCCAAAAAATTGATGCCTCATTCTGTTTAAGGACTGGTTTCCCCACCAACCTTCCTCTCTCTGTCTCCTGTGTCACAGCTTCGCTGTGGAGTGAGTGCATTCATCTAGCTGCCTCTCATCGGCACAGCCATGTAAAGGTAAGAGGAGGCGAGACCCGGGTTTGTTTGATCTCTCTGTTTTTGAAGCCGCCTGCGTTTTCTTGATTTCCCCTCACCGCCCTCAGCAATCCTTTCATTCTTCATTTTTCAAAGTAAATGACCTCCCCCACTCCCCACACTGTCCAAAGCTGTAATGTAACGTTTTTTTCCCTCCCATTTCAAAATGCGATCTGGAGAATTCCATGTTGCAAACATCCTGTAAGTCTTTGCTTCCAGACTCTTGTTTATTTTTATATTTCTTTCTTCTTTAAAAAATGTAATCCTGGAAACCCCCCCCTCCACTTTGCGACAAAGTCCAGGGAACTTTTTTTTTGTTTTTGAGCCTGTTTTAGAAACTTATTTTTAAGTCTCTAGCCAGTTTTCCATGTGGGATGCTATTTACCTTTTTCTCTCTAAAACAGTTTATCGTTGCTTCCAAGTTGGATTTGTTTTTCATCCCCCATTGATAATTGAAAATGTTTTGATTTTAAGTCTTTTTTGTGTTTGTATGGAAGGTACGCTTGATTCTTTTTTCCTGTCCTTGCTCCCACATGTTTCTGAATTTTTTTTTGTCTCTCTGTCTCTGCTGAGGTAAAGTGTGGTGTAGTGTGTCAGTCTCTTTTCTGTCTGTGGGGCCTCATAACTGTAGCTCAGAGAGAGAGTTAGGCCTTGACCACCACTGCTTTGCTTTTCTGGCAAATTTTATATGCACTGTTTTGACCACCGGCTCCAGTCAGTCTGGGGGAGGGGGTTGGTGTGGATGGGAAGTGAGCAGACCTCCCAAATGCTTCTCGCCATTGAGCTGCCATAAGCTCGTGGTTTCACACAAACAATCTTTGGCCACATCAGCAGCGCTCTAGGAATGAGTCCCTCTCCTTCTGGTGGTGTTATACCAGTGACAGATGCCCTGATGCTGACTCAATTCAGTTTAGAGGGAGAGGGGGGGGGGGGGGG